CCACTTCTAGTCCACACGCCATGACACAAACTCACCTAGTTCAAGCGATCCCCCGGTGAAACGCCGTTGTAGGAAGAAAGAAGACGTGAAGGCCGATGAGGCGGACAAAGTGGGAGGCAAACGGAGACAGACAAGTTGGAAACGAACCAACGAAAGAATGACATGTTGTCGGCATGTTGTCGGCTGGACTTTTTCACTGTTCAATGAGGCAGACGGGGATTCTGTCCTTTATAAAACACAACAATAACAATTTCCCTCTTCTTTTCGGCACAACTAATGCAATAGGCTGCTGTGTTCAGCAGGTTCTTACCTGTTTTGCTCATCAGGGTCATGTCCTTAATCTTTCCGAACCTCCTGTCTCCGCGTCTCCCTTTCACATCTTTTAGGATTAATGCTATTAATATTTTAATCAATAATTCATTGGTGCCCTTTTAATGTCTCCATTCAAGCCAGTGTTCTCCCATCACGCTTGAATCTGTTACTTATTTCTAGACAGGAGTCGTTTTATTGTCTGTATGGTGTTTTTGTAACCTCTAGACATCCCTTGACAATTATTATAACGTTTTTGTCCTTAACCCCGTTGATAGAATGAATGAATTTGTTTCTAGATGGCGAGAGTCTCATGCCGCTCACTTCCTTTTAAGGAAACTGTATCACTTCCTGTGAGCTTGAGGATTTGCCCTGTGAAAGACCCACCTGACACCAGCCGTTAAGTACAGATCCTTTTGGGTTGTTACTTAGAATCTTATGTGATAATTTGCCCTCTCATTCTGCTTACTGGGGACAAAGAAAGAAACAAAGAAAGCATGAGAGAAGAGACAGATAAAAGAGCGAGAGAGAGAGAGAGAGAGAGAGAGAGAGAGAGAGAGAGGAGAGAAAACAGTGGAGAGTAAATCCTCTTTCCCTGCTGACTTTAATCTCTCCACAGGCTGAGCCCGGAAGTTGGGGCCTTACAGCAGCCGTCAGTTAAAGGAGAGTGACAGCCATCGGGGCCGCAGGTGGGGGATGGGGACGGCCGGACGTCGTGTTACGTCAGCCTCGACTGTAGCGTGTTAAAGAGGAAGTGACTTTCAGAGTGGGATGGATAGACAACGGGAGGAGGGGGAAAAAAATGTTGGATCGAAATGAAGTGATACAAGTAAAAGTCCTTAGTCTTCTCTCAGAATTTGGGACTGTAGTGTAGCTAGCTGAGCTAACATGAGCACACTATTGGTTTTTGTGACTCACTTCTGGTTGTGTGGTGTATGCAAATAATTCTGTAGTTCTATGTGTTCACAGGACTGTGGGGGTTATTAAGCAGATACTCGAATTAGCTAGTGTGCACGTGGTCCGACTGCCCTGTTGGTCCAGACTGAAATATTTGAAAAACAACTGGATTTCCATTAAATATTAAACAGACATTCATGGTCCCCAGAGGATCAATCATACCGATGTTGGCGATCGTGTGAGGATCAAGTTTTGATTTTCTTTCTTGACATGAAATTTGGCACCCAATTTGGTAATCTGTACTACATACTAAGTCTATAAAGTACATACTAATCATCTTGGTATACTGATTTGGCAACTTGTTAAAAGATCAACAAACTTGCTATTGTTTTGTTTTAACATCCATAATCTGTTTCAGTTTCTTCCAGCTGTGAACAGCTTTGTGCATTGCATTGTGGGAGAACAGTCCACTCAAGGGTATTTTAGGATGGGTTTAGTATTGTATTGTATTTAGTATATAATATGGATTTGGGACAACGCTTATGTCTTGTTATCACACCAATGAATCTGATTTGTTGAAAGTAAAACTAATTAGTTGCGTGTCAGAAAGTGTGCTAAATGGATGTCCATAGGGGTTAAACCATAGGGTTTACCAGCCAAAGCGTTAAGGTTCTCTGTTTGGTATTCAGAGCATAAACAGAGCTGCAAATAACTATTTGCAATGTAAAGATATAGTTGAGTAATTGCTACCTGAACAGAGACTGAAGTCTCAGGTAAACACCTTGAGCTTTGTCAGCACTGTTGCCATTGTTTGCACTGTTAGCACCCATAGCTGCAAGCCATGGTGTTCAGACGCACGTGGAGGTAATCCCTCTACTCTGACTTTGCGAATTTGGCACCTTTTTATCTCAGAGCGAGAGCGTTATAGGAAGTGTGACAGAGCTGGAGCGAGTGTATGAGGGGGAAACCAAGAGATGCAGTGATTATTCACAAAATCGATGTGTGCGATCAGATGTTTGTGAGGTCACAGGTGGCCAGTGTTTATCCAATCAGGGACAAGTGGTGGGATCACATCATTCTTAAACTCGGCATACAAGCAAACACACAGTTAATTGCACCACATTACATGTTGTGTACGGTAAAAGCGTTGAATGCGACTGAAATTGGTGAAAAGATGAGTTTGAGTTTTGATCATAATGTTGATAGATGGAGAGGTGAGCGACACACACACACCCACACACACAGTGACAGTGTCAATATAAGAGGAAATGAGAAGCTGTGCTGTGCGTGTTGACGGAAAGCGATTCTACTGCAAAGAGATAAGCAATCATCGACGGATCGATTCCACAGCAGAACATTACACCGGGAAGATTGATGTAGTGAGAGCGCAGGCCTGGATGTTAGTGACATCATTCAGTTCAGTCGTTGTTGCTTTGTAAATGCACTGCGACGTGTTTCGCTTCAGCACATGAAGAGTGCAGACGCATCACTGGGCCGTCAACACCGTTGCCACGAACAGCACAACCAAGGGAACGTTGTCAACAAGTGGGCGTGGTTTGAGCACGGCGATGGACACCACCGATGTTGGTTTGCTGCCATGTTGGAACTTCATATCCATTCCCTAAAACGGAGACGAGATAATAATAAGCAACTGTTTCTTGTGACGCTTAAAACATGGTGGATTTGTGTTCAGGTCATCCGTTTGTTTTGGAATCCCCTGTAATGTAGCTGATCTATGAACTGGACTTCATTTGTGCTGTAGCACCCATTGTAAGGAGCTCTGGAATACAGCGTCAGCCGAATGGCTAAAATATAAAATGGCAACATAAATATTTTAAAGTGGAATAGCAGACAAAACACACACACACACACACATGGAGAGAGAGAGAGAGAGAGAGAGAGAGAGAGAGAGAGAGAGAGAAGGCATGAAAGAACTAGAGAAGCACTTTGAGAAGGCTGTTTTTTTTATTTTCCTCTCCATCTCTTTTCCCAGCACATGTTCAATTATTAACCGCCCTGACGACTCCGCCGGGATGGAGGCAGAGACAGACAGACAGAAGGCGGGGCAGAACAAGGAGATACTTTTATCAAACATCCAGCTGTGACTCAAACTGACCTTGTGTCTATTCATCTTGAGACCTTGTGAGGGCGACTTATTGATGGAGGCCTATGGGGCTCCGTCAGAAGACTAGCTTTTAAGGTGGTACATCCACAGGAATCCCATCTGTTTTTGCTATTTTACCAGAAAGTGTCATAGGAAGGCTAAAAGATGAATACAAACTACACCGTAGCAATATCACAACAACTTAAAGTGAATTTGTTTTTGTAGCACATAAAAAGGTTCCGCTTTTTAATCCATAAAAACCTGGATTTAGAAATGTTTTTTTTGCCGTGTCAAATCAATCAAAGTGAGTCTCCTCCTGCAGCCTCAGCACCTGATTGAGTCCAAAAGTCAGCCGGCCCTTGGTCCCATTGCTGCACTGTGTATTGCAGTAGATTAGATTACATCAAGCTTTAATGATCCCCAAGCTAAAATGCTGCTGGGTGGTTAAATTCATATCAAGCCACATTAGCCCTATAAAACCTCTCGCAATATGATTTGTGCGATGGAGACAAGAACGCATTAGAGGCACAAATGAGATCTGATTGGATTGCATTAGGGAGGTAGAGAAGGAGTGATGAGAACGTAGAGACTGAGCCGGTTTCCTCTGTCTCCTTGGTCCCGAACAGCAGCAGCAGCAGCATGTCGCTCTGTCAGCCTGCAGAGTTACAGCAACATCCATTTTTCATGGACCATTCCTCCAGCTCTGCTGCGCGCGGCTTCATGAAATACTGTCTGGCAGCGCGTCAGAGGAACAAAAATAGACCCTGGTGACACTTTGTCCTCAAACAGTGATGGAGCTCATCCCTCATTCATCTCCCTTCTCTGATCATCCCCGAGGAGGAAACTCTGGGTCAGCGACCATCTTTCTCCAAAGGACGGTGTGTTGGTTGCGTGCGTGACTGGGGGCTGTATACAAAAGCAGAGCCTGTTTACCCAAAGTGTTTTAAACAGTAAATTATTTATCACTTGTGCTTACGTGGTAAGAATTTCGCCCTTTACTTTGGCTCAGTCAGCAACACTTGTGCCCTTTTGTATCTCAAAACCTAATAAACAGTGCTTCGTCTCCTGTGTTGATGGTCTTTTTTATGTGCTGTTGACGGTTGATGGTATTGGACAGCTTTTTAAAGGAACACAGAGGACTCTACCTGCATTGAGTTGTAATCCCTGCCTCCCACAAACTAGTAGTTGTTCATGTGAAACGGTGCTTTTGCCGAGTGCTATGGAGTTCAGGGCTGGTGTAAAAGGCTCTTTACTCTTTTGCTGAAGGACACTTTGACAGTAGCTGCTACAAGGAGCAATTGAACCTTTCGACCCTGCTGTTATGGAACAGTTTGTCCATAGATAGATAGTTATGAGGTTTCATTCTTTTGTTTGAAATCTGAACCTGATTCGACCTCAGCAGTTGAATCATTTCACAGCTCATCACAGTATATGGTGAAGGATCAGAGCCATGTCAGCCTCCTCAAAATTCACAGACCTGCTACTCAAGCTGGACTCCCTGGACAGTGTTTCATGTCCCACTGGTCCCAGAGGCAACAAACGCCCACCAGCACAGCATTGTTTTACTGCCAGCTAATCTTTTTCACACTCCGGGTCACATGCTGCACAAAGTAACGGTTGTCATACTGCTTTATTTTGTAGTGTTGTTGCTACACTAACCTCTCTCTTCATCTCTCTTTCTCCCTTCCAGTCCTTCTTGTTTGAGGTCAAAGTTCAACAGTCATCATGGCCGACGAATCAGACATGCGCAATGAGCTGGCGGATCTGCAGACACGCGCAGACCAGATAGCCGATGAGGTACAGTAGAACACACACACACACACACACACACACTTGTGTACGCCGGCATTTATGCTTACAGATTGACCCACATATAAACATCTGCTCTAATATTGAAAAACAAAGATGACACATCACATTTTACTTTGCATATGATCCTGTGTTACCTGCTGAAGTGGCTGCTAGTTTAAGGTCTAACTTCCTCAGATATTGATAGTCATATACACTCTTTAAATTGCACATGATTTTATTTATTTATTTATTAATCTGTAATGCATTTCTCATCATATGTGACACATCATCATTTGTATTTTTCATTTTTTTTCACCTCTTTTCTTGGGCTCCAGTCGTCAGTCAAACAAACATGCATTTCTTCACAGTTACTTTGTGCGCTGTATACTTTCCATAGACAACACTGTGAATTGTGATTTACAAATCCAGAAAGCGGGTCATAACCCAGGTAGTTAGACATTTGCACATCGAACCATCACAGCTAAAAATATGAAATTTAATCTCCATTCCATTACCTAGTTTTTGTCAAAAAGAAAAAGAAGAATGTAACTCGCTGTTGGTGAAGCACAAACAGAAAGCAGAAAACAGAGAAATTGAGAGGACTTTTCTGGTCTACAGTCAAAACAGATTTTTTATTTTTCTTGTCAACGACATGACAATTCCGACTTGTTCTCATCCCCGTAAGGACACAAATGTCTCTCTAAAGCCTGCAGGCTGACACACACAGCTACTGTAATCTGACCCTTCCTTGTTTTAGCAATTTGTTCTCAAAGTCTTTTTAATCAAGACGAGGCTTCTTTTTTTTTTTGAAGAAGAAGAAGAAGAAGAAGAATGGAAGAACTTTGCCCTTTTTAAATGAGTCGAGAGGTGCTCGGGAAGAGCAGATAATTCTGTGCTGCAGAATAATGGAGCAGCTCCAATGGCCTTATTAAACATTCATGAGGAGATAATGCAAGGCCAAGAGGCTCCGTGGATGTGATGGAGGGGAGGGGAGGGAGGGGAGAAATCAGGAAGTCGGGGATGGTAAGATGGATGGAGATAACACAGGGGAAAGAGCCAAATGAGGATTAGGAATGAAATGAAATGGTGTTTGGTTTAAGAAATAGATGAGACTCAAAAGGGCTCCTGCAGAGGGCGGAAAGTTAGCAAACAAAAGGTAGAAATCAGATAATTAATCCTGGGATCAGAGGAGATAAGAGGAGAGGAATAATCAAGCTTAATTTTATGACTGAGGATCAGTGATTTGTCCGTCGACACTAGACTTTTCTTGCCTCTCACATGTGCGTTTTACACCTTTTAAATATTCCTTCTCAACACGCAGAGACGTCTTTCTGCTTCATGTTACAGGTGACGTGCTGCGTGTCTGTATTCGCTCTCTTGTGGACTCTCAGCTAATCATTTGGCCTCTCTTTCTGTCCCTGCAGTCTCTGGAGAGCACTCGGCGTATGCTGTCTCTGGTTGAGGAGGTGAGTTGGCCACTCATGTGACGACATAAACAACGAGTTCTCTTTGGTTTCTTACATATCAGCACCTGCCTCGTGCTAAATAATACAGATGGAGCTGCATAGGTTATATAGAGAGTTTAACTTTTCCCCTCAACGTGATGTTTATGCTGGAGGTAGGTTGTAGGTGAAGTCCATAAGGAACCAAGGATTCACTAGGTGAGTCAGCTGATGGATCAGCTCTGTCACTCGGTGAATGAGTCTGCATCTTCATCCTCAACACTATCGATTTGAAAGGTTAAATACAAACTTGAATCAGCAGGGGTACATGTGATTTTATTCTGCGTCATCCTAACCAAACAGTTGTATATTATTTTATAGTATATATATATATATATATATATATATATATATAGTAATTTGACATCATGATAGCTATATGTATATATACTTTTTCTTGAAACCATTACATAGACAAACTATCTAGATATGGAATTGGCACTGGGCTATACTGACAAACTCAAATATTCTGATATATTAAAACAAATACTGTACTTATATATTGATATATAATGATATAATGTGGGGGCAGCACTATTGGAGCTTTAGCAAACCTTTCATTGGGAATTTGATGAGCAAATGAACAAACACGTTGTTGGGTCTGGTTATTTTGTTGAACCAACACTAAAATAAGCTCAGAAATCACTGTACTGTAACCCAGCCTTATACAGTAGATCTAAAATAGTCAATATTTAAGAATGATATCACGATGACAAAATCCCAGATGATATTGATATTATTTTCATCTATTGCAAACAGTGGTGGGTCACTACATTGCTCCTACTGCCAGCTAAAAATTGAATTGAACGAGAGAGGCGCTTGGTGTCCGAGGAGTGTGGACAACGAGCACAGCGACCATCTGTAGAAACTTAAAAGGGATAGTTTGGGTGTTTTGAAGAGGGGTTGTAGTCCGTGTATTATAACTACAATAGATTCATATTTTCAGCGCCTCATCTTGACGTCAGACAGCGCTTTCCAGACGGGGAGCTTAACTAAAGTGAAACTTATGTACGCTCTCTTTAAAGCCACGACGCTGCCTTGACAAAAACAGTAAAGATAACACACTTATATGATACACTTATACAGATATTGATTGATCTAGGTGGGCCTTTCCTTTAGGTGGCTAAAATATGTTCACGTGCTGCCCCCGTCCACAGCAGTACATTGCTTTGCTCTTGTGTCGGTACTCCTGTCCGTCTTTCTGAACAGGGGGCGTGCCGACCGCCATCTACTGAAGGTAAAACACTGACTATGGATAAGTATCTCATACAACCCCACTTCAAAACACCCAAACTATCCCTTTAATGGTGGACTGGGTTTGTATGGGAGAAAATATATTTCAAAGCCAGTCACTTCAACACTTTGCAGAGAAATAAGGAAGAGTTTGTACGCTCCGTTTCATTCAGGAGGACCTCATGTTTGCTCTCCTATAGGCTAACGTGTTTGTCTACACTACAGGAAGACAGGAACTCTTTCACATTGTTTGCAGTTGTAACTGGAATACGTATTTCCAAGCTGATTTTGCGGTTTTTACCGGTATTAGATTGCCATGAGCTTGTGTGGGACCTCTAGTTCCAGCTGCTGGCTTCAGAGACTGGGCTCTGCTCTGACCCCTGGACCAGCCACCGTGTCTTGATGAGACAAAGCCGTGAGGGACAGAGGGAGAACTGGGGCTGACCCAAACGGTGGCCCGCTCAACAGACGAGGCTTTTTCTGCCGGCGGTAGCTGAATGTTTGCCCTTTTGAAGATAATGCCAAGGGAATGCCATTTGTTCCTTTCAACTGTTCGTCTCTGATTTGAAGATGTGCGGCGGTTCGTTAGTAGAGAGTGCGTTTTCCCACGTGGTATTGCTAGAGCCGAGACAAACAGCGACTGTGTCATGTTTTGGCTTCTCGCTGACAGCATGCGCTTCATCCCTCTCGCTTTGCATCCCCACCAGAGAAATGGGCTCAATATAGACTGCAATGTGGCAATAAGGCAGCATAGATTATGGATGAGGCTCAACATGCCTCTTCATACAATGCAGATGTTATACAACTTCGGTCATTTGAGTTTGTGGTCTGAATATTCTCACAAATGCTCTGATATCAAATCATTTTGGGATAATATTCATACCATTCATAAAAATAATTATGTTTTAATTTCAGGCTTCTTTCCCCTTCTCTAACTTTTCTCTCACATGATCCCCCTCACAGATCACACCTACACTATACTGCACTGTCAACTCTGACTCTTCCTCTCTTTACTCTTTGTTTCTTATAATCTCCATAATCCAGAAACTCAAGCTTATTCTACTTTTGTACTCGGTAAGACGCTCTGGTTGAGGTCATCGGCCGAATACTTAAAAATGTAATTGTAAAATCCATGCAGAGCCCGTATCATAATGGAGTCTCATTTGAAATGCATGACCTTACAGTGGAGAGCAACATTGTGAAATCAATTTATAGGGAATGCAAATAAACAAGGTAAATCAGAAAACAATGATGTGAATAATAAATTCTTTGCTGTAGTTTGAGGTTAAGAGTGGTGATACTGACACTGTCGCACTATTGTATGGTGTAGTTAATGCAAAATATAATAAAGGTTTTTTCAAATAATATTTTTGCTATATTCTGAGCCCACCTACTTTTTAGCAATCCAATCAAATGCAAAGGATTTGATTTAAATGTAACGTGTCCTTGTCTCGTGCAAATGTGACCCGAAATTCATTCTCCAGACCAGTGTGCAACATGACCTTTATTTTGTAGCTGGATCCAGCAGATAGCTAGCTTAGCTTAGCCTGAAGACTTTAAACGGTTGGATACAGCTAGCCTCTGTCCAGCAATCCACCTACCAGAAGCTCTAACATTCACCAATAAACATGTACCTTGTTTAATCTGCCGGCAAAACTGGTGCTATAGTATAGTAGCCAGATTTTGCTACCTTTGGACAGAGCCAGGCTATCTGTTTCCCCCATGTGTCCAATTTGTATGCTAAGCTAAGCTAACCAGCTGCTGGCAGTAGCTTCATATTTAACAGATAGATGTATAAGAGTGGGATTGAACTTCAAACTCTTAGCGAGAAAGTGAAAAAGCACTTTTCCCACTTTTAAAATAATTTATTTAGAATATAAACTATGATTTGGAATTCATCACATTTCACTGTATGTATTCTTACACTAGCTTTGTTATGTGTAATGGAATGTCTAGTATTAAAAACCTACCATTTTCAGTGAAGTGTTACCGATTAATTATTAACATTGAAAACAGCAATTCTGTCATACATGCAAAATCTATGGATTAGCAGCATAAATCAAATATATTACAGTATCAGTATCTTAAATATACCAGCGGCGTAATGAACGAACTTGGTAGTGCAACTCAATTTTTATTAAGAAAGATCCAGAGATATTGAAGTTCTTGTGAAAACGGTTATCTTGCCACCAGGCAGAGAACAGAAACGAGAATCTACTCGGTATGTCAGAATGATCCGTGAAGAAAGCTGGCGAGGGGAGATGGAAATGAAAAAGAGAAAGTGAGACGGAGGAACGAGATGAGGAGAGTGATGAGAAAGATAAACAGAGAGTTAGAGAGAGGAGCCGGCGAAGGACATCAAGTCCAAATGCAGTGCCTCTGTGGAGCAGAGAAAGGGGAGATCTGATTTGACGGGCAGCTTCAGGCCTGAAGTCAGAGAATACATTACACAAGATGGATGTGATATTACATTCATGCAGGCTGTTATATCACTACACTGTAGTCTCGATGAGCAAATAAATAAATCAAAAAAGACATTTAATTCCCCCTTTGAGTCTTAAAACTTCTATAAATACAGAAAAAGTATAATACAATTGTGTGGATTTGTATTCAAAGTGGAATCCTTATAGCTCAGTATTTAACATGTTCTTTCTTTTTTTCTGTGATCCACATAAAAATCAAAGTCGAGAAACAACAAGCTGCATTTTTTGTTTCCAAAGTCTTTGCTGGTTGCCTGACAGTCTCACTGTGAAGACTTTGGTTATTTATGGATTAAACAAATGTGTCAATTAGTGTGCTTTCTTGGTGACTGTATTACCTTCAGACAGAGCTGGGCTCGACGTTTCCAGTCTTTATGCTAAGCTAAGCTAATCTTCTGTAGCCATTTATCTACTGGATGGATAATAGAGACATCGATGTTCTCATCTGACTATTGGAAAGAAAGCAAATATTGATTTCTCAAAAATGTTTTTTTTTTTACATCTTCAAATAATTAAAGCAAATTAAGCTAATTACTTTCAGGCCAATGCAAATAAATGAATCAAAAAGGTGTGATATACATAAATGTTTGCCTGTGTTTAAAGTACCGAGACTGTGTTATTCACTCTCAAATGCTTTATAAAGGATTTATATAGACAGTACATTTTGGACATTCTAATGAAAAAACTTAAATAATACATCACCTTACACTGCTATCATCTGCTGTGTTTAAATTGTTCGATCAATCAACCCATCAAATGATTCAAATGTAAAGCTTCCGTAGATTTGTGTTTATCAGATATCGCCTCCGGTGTTTGTTTGACCAATAGCAGGGCAGCAGCATTCGTCTCCACAGTGACTGAGTTAGAATAGATTCCAGGAGACATCTCAATGAAAAAATCATTACCAGGACTCTGTCTCAATGTCAACGGACCACTTGCCCTCTTTCTTTTATATTGCTCTTTGTTCTTACTACGTTCTTCTTTCCCTGCATGATTTCATTTTTTATACTTTGCCTTTAACTTTTCTCAATGTCTTTCATGCAGGGCAAAGTGACACTGATTGTGTTTACTTTAAGGATTGTAACTGATATGGACACCACCTTGAATCTTTTAATTCACCCTCACCTTTAAGACAACATAGACCGTAGGGCGGAACACTGCTGAGCATAGAAATGAAGAACAAAGAAAGAAGAGAGAGATGGGTTTAAAATATTCATCTCTATTAATCTTTTGAAAACACCCGCCATGTTCATTTCCTGGGCAGAAAACTATTGTGAAAATCTGCTAAAAAATCATCAGGTCCTAACCGGAGACTCTGAGAAGTCAACAACCTGTCTTGTGTGTGTGTGTGTGTGTGTGTTTGTGTGTGTTTGTGCATGTGTGCGTGTGTCTAATGAGCCACACAGAACGATGTGATGTCATCTTATCAGACTATGCCAGTTGGCACGTTCCGATATCCTGTCCTGTATTTCAGGAGCCGCAACTGCGACCTCGCATGTCTTGTGGTTTCCCATGATTCCTGGCAGGTAAACAAGCAGTATTTCAACGGGGTTTGAGCACAAGTATCTGCAAACATTAGCTCTATCTAACATTAGTTTCTGTTTGCTGGGGATTATTTTAATTATCATTTATTAGGCCACAAAGCTCATGTAAACACACCGCTTCTCTTCTGCTCACTCGGTGTTTCAGGAGAAACCCATTTACCCGATACAGATCCACGGCCGCTGGCAGACCTCTGCCGCGGTGGGTTTTATTGGTACTGATATCAGTGGCACGTCTGACTGGCCTCCAGCGCTGGTCTCTATCTATCACTGCTCCAAGAAGGTCAGAGCGCACTTTGATCCAAAATAGCTGAAGCGTGACCCGAGCGGCCTTTGGTTTTTAATATCTGCCAGATGAAGCCTCGGGCTCATGGGGAGCACAAAGCTGTTGTGTTGTCGGATGCGCGGCGGTTGATGCGGTTATTGTGTGCTTACTGAAGTGTGGTTTTATGCGGCGACGCCCGGCCCCTGCATGCACGGAGAAATAACTATGCAAAATGTCTGCACGAATGTTCATGTTTTGTGTGTGCCGGGGTGTTTGAGCGCGTGCCCACTTTGTGAGCCAAATCAGAATGTTACGTTACTGGAGCTTTGTCAACAAATCTCTGGTACCAGCCCAGGGAACATGACAAATATAGCATCACCGCCATTTGGTGGTTTCTGTGCAAGGAATCGCGCATTAATATATATCTGTGTTTTTGTTAGATTTTCTCTTGAGCCTTTTCTTATCTTCTGTAAGGTTGTTTTTTTTTGGGGGAGGATTGCAATTTAGTTTTATGCCTGATAGTCAGCTGTAAGTCTGTCCCTGTATGAGGCGGGCTTCTAAAACAGAGCTGTAGACATGTCGACAGGAAGTCCCAAAGGCACTACCTGGTTTACCCGCCTCTCATGTACCACCAGCAGAGTGCAGCGTTGGTGTTAGCGTTTCATTCCCATGACTTTGCTCTATTCTTGGGTCAAATGTAATGACTAAAATCCTTGCATTTCTTTTTTTAACTGATGGCCATTTTAATTTAAAGGAATAGTTTGAGATTATAGAAAATATACGTATTTGCTGAGAATATTGTGTGTCTTTTGGCAAGAAAACAACTTGGTGTATCTCCCAAAAATGTCCCTTTTACAATCAAGCTGTCTCTGTTGTGCCAGACAAGATCAGCAACAAAAATAGATTTCAAACGGTAATTTGACCCACCTCTGCTGTCCTGATAGCTCTGCTCTGTTAACCTTCACTGATCTGTCACATTTTATTCCTCCTTTCCCAACTTCTCTTCTTCTCTCTCTTTTTTTCACCCACCTCCCCATCTCCCTTCCTGTCTGTCTGTCTGTCAGAGTAAAGATGCCGGCATCAGGACTCTGGTCATGTTGGATGAGCAGGGAGGTAAGTTCATAAGGAGAGAGATCAATGAACACTGTTTCTCTAACAGCTGTCTGCACTTGACATCTGCTCTACTACCGATTCTCTCTGTGCTGTATAATGAGTGAGTCGCCATCACCAGTACGTCCAGTATAACGCAGATTCCCAGTCAGATTTACAGCACAGATGACATTTATGGTTCTACAATTACTAAAGTAGAAGAGCAGTTTCTTTCTTTCCGAGCTTCAGCCAGGTCCTTAAACGTAACCTCCGCTGCAGTCTGAGCTAATGTGGCTGAAATGATTATACTGGATGTGACTGTTGAGCTAGCCTTCTGCTTCGCCTCCCTGTTACAGGTACTGCGCTTTTATTCTTCCTGTAAACTTTACCATTCTCTTTTCTCTGAGGGGAAACAATGATCAGTTTGACCGGTAATGTCAAACAAACAATCTTTCTCATATTACGCCACATCCTCTCCAGTTCTGCCCAAATTATAGCTTAACCATTAAAGTACCAGTGTGAAGCATTTCAGGGGATCTATTGGCATAAATGGAATACAATATTAATATATATAGATATATATATATATATATATAATCACCTGGAAATAAGAATCATTGTGTTTTCATTAGCTTAGAATGAGTCATTTATATATCTACTTAGAGCTGGTCCTCTTCATGGAGTCCACTGTGTTTCTACGGTAGCCCAGAACAGACAAACCAAACACTAGCTCTAGAGAGGGCCGTTCTCGTTTTCCCGTTTTTGTGCGGGCAACCGACGTTCTTCTACATGCTTGGCATACGCTAGAAGTTTCTGTTGGTTGCAATTTGCTGCTAGATGCCTCCAAATCCTACACACTGTAGCTTTAAGAATTAAAGGAGATACTCCGCCAATCTGGGTACTCAGCCAGTGAAAACGGTTGCATAAAGTCCGTTGTTGCTCTGGAGGAACTTTTAGAAGTCATAAAACACCCCCATCAGGATCACCACACTCACTGCCAGTTGACCGCCGAGAAACATGAGGCCATGCACGATTATAATCCACACAGTAACCGCTTTACAAACGGGAATGCACGCCACAAGTGTGCGTTTATCAGGAAACAAGATTTTACTGTGTAAAACTAGCAACAAAAAAACAGCATCTGCACTGTCGACAGTTTGACTTGAATAACATCAGCAGTAGTGCCGGTTTATCCTTCACCTTAAGATTAACGGTTTTATAGCCACAAATCCACCTCTGTTACTGTCACTCTAGCACTCTCGTTTTTACTTATCTAGCTTTTTGACACAACAAAAATAAATGCGACGTGTCTGTGCATCAGATTTTTGTTTTGTTTTCCACTTTTGCAGTACTTCAGCCCTCGTAGACTGCAGCACAGTGGAACCGACTGTCCCTGAGTGAAACACAGCCAGCCGGCGCTAATTCAAAATGCATTCTACAGCTTATATAACTGACTCTTTTATGTCAAGCTAAATTAATCATAACATTTCTTTAAATATCTACAAGACTACCAGGTCCCACGAAACAGCAAAGCAAAAGCAAGGTCAGGGGCCTCTCATGAAGTACCAGATACTACTGGAGGAACACAAACATACAAAGCCCACTGCATGATATTAAATCTTTTTTAGACATATCTTCTTCTTCTTTTTTTTACAGACTACATTGTTTCAAATCAGTAACATTAAATTCATGGTAAGAAAATAAAAAAGGAAAGGAGGGTGCAATCTTATGGGCCCGTGGTGAATGTGGGCCTTCGGTCGCGCCCCACCCCGCCACTAAATTCCCACTATTGGCTTGTGCTCAGCTCCATGCGTGAACAAGCAGCCTAATTGGCCTGTCAAAGGAACAGATAGCCTGTTTCCCCTCTCTCCCTCTCTCTCTTCCCTCCTGTCTTCGCGGCTGCGTCGGCTCACTGCTGTTAGCGCAGGACAGCAATGAATTCACAGATTTAAATTACCTCTGCCTCTCGGCAAATGTCCTCTTAACCCGATCCCCCATCTGTCTGTCTCTCTCTCTCTCCGTCTCTGTTTCCCGTCTTCCTCTTCTTCTTTTTCTCTGTCCCATGATCCCTCTCCTCTTTCCCACCAGCCCCTGCTCTCATTCCCTTTCGCTTTTCTCCCCTGACCTCTACACGTTCTTCCTCTCCAGCTCCTTTGCCTGGAGATCACTTATAATAATAATAACGATGAAGCGCTTTCTTGTCTTCACTCGTTCTGTCTCTCCTCCCCTCTTCCCTCCAGACCCTCCCTCCCATTTACAATGGCCGCCGAACTACACGTGCCTCTACAGTCGGACGCCTTGATATATTCGCCGTGTTATTTACACCCAGAATTCCCTCGAATATCGCCATGAAAGGCAAACAAGGCTCATGAGTGATAGCCGCCCATGCGTGTGGTCATTAACACGGTCTTGTTGAGCTGTAAACTGGCGGGTAACTAATCCCTCTGCCCTTTACACACGCAGGTCATACTTTCTTTTCTTGCAGTGATGTCTAACGTGTGGTGGAGGTCTCACTGCAGCTATGAGTCCCTCCCTGCTCGGCCATTACATGCATGTTGACCTGAATTACGTCTCGTTCAGGGCTGATGGTTTGCAGCTCGGCCTCGGTGAGCAACTCGCAACGCTTTAGCTCGGAGCACAAACCGTCGGTTGGATTCCATCCCCACCCCACCCCCCCGAAAGCTGAACAAGTACAAGGAGCATGGTTGATGTTTGTTTTGTAATGATAAAACTCAAACCAATAACGATCGCTCAATACCATAACAGGTCGTGAAATAGTCACAAAATGCAATCTATTGGTGTTGTGTCCAGGGACACGAGTTGTCTGTTTTTTCAATTAGGATCTTTTTTCGTGATGGACACACAAATTAAACGCATCCATGTGACCATGCAAAGGTCAGAACTAGTTTATGGTGGGCGTGAGAGGAGTTTGATTGGGTGAAATTGACTTTCAAGGACTTTCAATCACAAGACTGGTGTTCGACACCGCGTGTCTCAAAGTGTTGTTGTGCTTTTGTTGCCTAAACCTAACAATCGTAATGGTTTTCCTCAACCTAACTACGTGGTTTTGTTGCGTTAACCTAATGTTCGTAAACATTTTGTGAAAGCACTCTATGTGGTACCGTTGCCTAAACCCAATGACCTAATTATTTTACAGAAGTGTTTTTCCCTATTCTGTTTTCCCATTTCAAGTATTTATTTAAACACTATCCTCAACAGAAACAATCTTATAGGTTTATATTATGGCCACCAGTTTTAATTATTCCTTCTTCGCTTCTGTGAAATCACGTAGTGTCCGTCATCTTGGCACGGCACACGACTCTAAACTCTACAATGATCCTTGGCCGCCGTTGCCGTGGAGAAGAAGCTAGTCAGAGGCGCGAATCAAAGCGCTAATAAATTCAAATGATTTGTCGGTGCAGTTGAGAACCATGAATTTAAAACAGTTGATTTCAGCTGCAGGTTGTTGTTGTTTTTCCAGTTTTCTCACCACTGTCATCATCAGCTTTCTCCCACGTTTAAGCACGGCCAGATCAGTCATTTCATTGAATATCGCATTCATCCGGTATAAAAACTGGAAATGTCATGATGATTTGACATGCTGCTTGTGAAAAGGGGCCTGTTGTACGCATTCATTTGAATCACCCTGCTTTCTCGTGGGGAAAGACAGAGATGGGAATCGAACCTGGGACTCACCGCTTGGGGCATTTGCGCCAATGAGGCATGCGCCCTTATTGGCTAAACCTGTGACAGACTATGGAAGAGGAGGGAAGGGGGAGGCTCCACCACGATAATCCCCAGACGGATTGAGAGGAGGCAGGTTTGGCCGGCTGTCTGAAGCTAAGGAGATAAACAATGACTCTCTCTCTCTCACAAAGTCGTTTTGGTTTTCCACTAAGATGTTGCGAGTTATCTGTATCTGTAAACAGATTGTGAACCGTCCCAGGTCAAATGTTGCCATCTTGTATTCTGGCAGTCCCTCCTGTGGCTGTTACATACCTCAGCTTTCATGATTAAGAAAACTGACCCCGATAGCAGAGATCTGCACAACTGCCGTAAAGGTCCGAGCAAGGTCGTTATTTACTATCGCACGTGGAGACTGAATCCCGGTAACAATCAACACTCTGGATCAGCAGCACTCGTTCCAATAGATCTTGAGCCAGTGTTTTGCGACCATCTGTGTCCTCTTGCACTACAATGTGACTATTCAAACCCCGGAAGACAAAGCGCCCCCTTTCCACTGATGGAGATTACTGGTATCCTGCCCTACAACCATTAACCAGAGAGAGAGAGAGAGGATTCGACCTTGAATCAGAGCTGTTTATAGCTCTGTGCCCCGTTGACCATCTGAGTGAGGAAGCATCAGCGTGCCTGAATGCTGCTTTTCGTCACACTCGCTTCATGATCCGTTCATTGATCTTGTCGCTCATTTATTCAATTGCTTTTAAGCCGTCCGCCTATCACTGCCTCTCCCGACGCTCCCGTTGACGTGCAGTAGTACTCCAAATTAACATCCAGCACCACATGAAGCGTGCGGCTGCCGACGCGGCCGCTCATAAGAAGTACTCAGAAAGAAGCAGTGTGTCACTTTGGATGGAGGTATGAGTCAAAAGCTGTCGGAGCCCCTTGTAGATTTCCAAGGAAATAAATTCATCCATAGCCCGCTTTGCCTTCTGCATCTATAGCCGAAACCAATCTTTGCCTCTTGCACCGTAGCGTAGTGCGCCAACCCTGGAACAAAACAACCAGTCAAATTTATGTCACTGCTCTCATGCCTTTTATCCTCACCAGAGCAACTTGATCGCCAGGAAGAGGGCATGAACAAGGTGAACGCAGACCTGAAGGAGGCCGAGAAAGATTTAAAAGATATAGGACAATGCTGTGGTCTGATATGCCCATGTATTAAAAAGTAGGTACCGGCCAGGAGCCCTGAGTCCTGCCTGTCCAGTGCTGGTGGTGGTGGTGGTGATGGTGATGTCTGATGTCTCTCTTGTCACAGTCAATGTCTTTTTTTTGTCTCTTCTCCTTTGTTCCCCCTCTCTCCCCCCCCCCCCCCCCCTTCCCTCCACCCGCAACTTCTTCCACCTCTCTTCTCTTCTCACGTGCTTTCGTTCTTTTGCTGGAAAAAAAAATGACAATGTGTTGGTAATCAGAACAACTGGAGCGCATCGAGGAGGGGATGGACCAAATCAATAAGGACATGAAGGATGCAGAAAAGAATTTGAACAATCTAGGACAGTTCTGTGGTCTATGTTCATGTCCCTGTAACAAGTAGGTGCTGCCTGTGTCGCCTGACTGCATGTGTTTCAGTGCCTGCCTTCCTGCCTCTCTATCCGCCCGCCTGCTTCTGGTGTGTTAGAGCATGGTGACCCGTGGTGTGAGCGGTCAGGTCCGTAGCCACGACAACAACAGCAACAACAGCATCACGTTCCCGGAACAGGCACCGGTGCTGCATGCGTGTGTGTGTGTGTGTGTGGGTGTATTTGCTTCAGTTGACTCTGTGTGTGTGTGCATGCATGCATGAACGACACACACATCTGCACGACAGGTTCCGATGCCACTTTTTTTTTTTTTTGCTGTTTGTCATCACCCAAAAAAGCCCTTCATTCCACATTGGATTAGAGATTTTCTTCCAGCAGGTAGCGGCGTCAGCAGGGATCTGGGCCACGGCACCTACCCACCACTACACCCCTCTGAACCCCACCCAAGCCCAGCAGCATGATGCAGTCATGCTGTGCACAAAGTCCAACCAAAGAATAAATCAACTAGTTGCCTTCTCCACTAAATTACTCATTTGATTTTTATCCTCTTGCAGTATATTAAAAGAAATACTCTTATTCTCCTTCTTGCCGAGAGTTAGATGAGAAGATTGCCACTGCTCTCCAGTCTGTACAATACATATGTACCTTATGGCTTAGTTTAGCACACTAATATTCTTTATCTCACTCCCTGCAGGAAAGCGAATTTGCATATTTCCAAAAAATGTCAAACTATTCCTTTTAAGCGTAAAATTTTTTGGGGGTCCCAGTTCTTAGATGTGGTGATTGATTAATCTATTATTGAATGTATGCTATTTTCTATACAATATTTAGACAGTAAGCCATGAACACATGAACTGGTTACATTGCAAGCAAGCCTTAAAATAAGTCAGGGCGTTTTTACAGATACTGGACTGGTGGTGAACTTTTAAAGATAAATATAAAAATGTCTAACTTACGCTTCAACACACCAACTTTGGCAAACGACCCCAGACAACAAGTTGTAACCATAGGATGCCTCAGTTGGCCCCTGCCCTCAGGACTGTCCTAATGAACTATACAGGAGCGGGGTAAACTTGGGCACACTCAACGTCGAGTGCTACTGTTTTAATATTAAAACGCTTAAACCACGTATTGAAAGCTTTGATATAAAGGTGGATTCCCCAATGTTTTGCCAAACTCCTGTGTGATCTGGTCTCTGGTCCTCCTAAACAGCCAAACTATGGCCACTGAGTCATGTCTGAGCGTACAATTATCTGGGACCAATACACGTACTGTATACAGTTGTCTATCTCAGAGCTATAGAAAACACAAGTGGCTGACAAACCAAGAAATAAATGGCTATATATGGGTTTTGGTGGGTTTGCAGCATGATGTTTCGCAGTCATTCTTCTGGGAATGAATTCAGCGATGCCTTAATGATTTACCAAATGGTATTAGTGTAGACGGTGCTGTATTTTTGGTGATCTTGAGGAAATAATTAAAACGAATGCCAAAAAAAACCTAATCTTCTGTGTTAGATCTGACATAGAATGACAAATTTGAGTAATTCTTGTCTTCTGTCTTCATTGTGTACTACCACTATTTTTACATCCACTCTGGAGAATCAGTAGACTTCTTAACAACAGACGATTCTTTTCTCCAAAACAGGGCTGAGCAGGATTCTTGACACTAGCACATGCAACTAATCTGCTTTATTTGCATCACAGCCGTCATTTTGTAGCAGTTGGTGTTTGTTTAATGGTCACCACCTGATTTTGGGTTGAACTTTTTGTTTCCTGTTAGGAAGGTATATTAGCAGTTTGCCGCCTCCACGTGGTCCGTTTTGGTCCTGCTACCATACGTGATTGTCTTTGGGTTCAGATCTTGTCTATTCTATAGCTCTTTGGTCCTCCATCTCATGAACCACGTGTTATGTGATCCTGTGGTTTTAACGTCATGTGTTTCATCTTGTATACACTTCTTTATATGCCAGGGTCAAATAGCACGTGAAAAATAATTCTTGCTTGTTGTTGTAAACTGGAGCACCTGATGGGCGGGGTTTCCGCCACCTCGGCGCAACAGTGTCGCACACAGTGGTCGTCTTTCGTCGAAGAGGGATCAAATACAGATTTTAGATTTGAACTGTGTTCATTGTGTTGTCTTCAGTGGTGACTTCCGCTCATCAGATGCTCCGAGCAAAATAAAACAAATGCTAAGAATTAGTTTTGCCTATTTGACTGTATACAGTGTATCATCTTACATCCAGATGAAATGAAGGGCTCATCACAGCTACTGTATTACATAGTCTTGCATGCAAAAATGATCACCATTCACTCACTGTTTTTTTCATAATTTTTTTTTGGGTTGGTTGGTTTTCCACAAGGGATCTAACTGCTCGGCTTTCTTTCACGAGATACAGCGTGTGTCTGATCCTGTTCCTTCTTCACGTGTTTCCCCCCCTTGTGTCAAACATAGTGTTCCATGTCTTCCGCCTTGCATGTCCTCTCAACTTTGCACGTGTGTGTTTTCGTGTCTCCTCCGTCCGGAGTCTGGTCATTATGTGTTCTGTGTTTGTGCTCTTCTGTATGTGCTCGTGGTGGGAGAGGGTTTTACCTTTTGAGGAGAACTTTGCGAACACAGCTTGTTGTGCTCGGATTCAATTGATCCGCATGTGGGATCAATTATTCACAGATTGCAAACGCATGTATGTAGGTGCATCATAAGTGGCCGGCAGGCCGCTTCTAGCAGGCTAATTGACTTGACACCATAATTAACACGTTGCATTCCAAACACAGTATGTGAGTTTTGAACATGTGAATTGCAAGAAAACATGTGCTCACATAGACATGCACATACACAACCTCACATGCACACCTAGCCTTGGTTACGTTCACAAACAAGTGCAAACACACACATATCTACATAGGCACACAAGTATCTATACAACAAGCACACAATGCAGAAGTTGAACTGGCCCTGACAGAAATGTGTGTGTGGTAGGTTTAAGGGCGGGGGCCAGGCCTGGGGAGCGAACCAGGATGGAGTGGTGAACAGCCAGCCGGGGGCTCGAGTGATGGACGAACGTGAACAGATGGCCATCAGCGGGGGCTTCATCCGCAGGTAAGTACTACGTGTGTGTGTAGGCGTCCCTCTGTGTGTAGTAGTTGGCAGGCTTGCTGCTTGCTGTGTGTTTGCGTAAGTGCTGGTGTGTGTGATACTGTTTATGTAAAATTACATGAGACTCATCCTGGAATAGGTCGCCCCATTTGGACTCTTCTCGACACTTTCCCCCCTCATTATGGACAATGTGTCAGTTGCTAACCTGTGTTTTCATACTATTCCTCATGGGACTGATTGGAATTTTAAATCTCAATTCACTGTGATGTTTTGAGGTTTACAGATTGAAGGCCTGTGCAGAAGAAGCAGGACACGCTCTGCAGCAATAAGGGTTCAGTACAGCAATTTAGCAATTTCCTTTTTAGAAAAAAACTAAATTGCAACAATTTTGGACACAAATACCTGATGGATATGTGTTCCACTGGTTTCCAGCCTGTTTCGCTTGTGAACCCCCCCTACCGATCACTAGTGTCAGAAGTCTAAAAGTTTAACTTTGTCATTGGATTGTATGCTCAAAACTAGAGTAGGTAACACTATCCACAAAAAAGCAATGATTTGAGCCGACAAACATGAATTCAAATTTGTGTAGCAGAGCTGTGTTTTAATCATCTTGTGACCGTTGGAGGGGTCCCGACCCTCTGATTGGGAATCACTGAGTAATGCTATGACATATGATCAAATCTTTGTGGATCCTGGAGAATTATTAGGGTTTCTTCCCCCAGCTGAGTTTTTTTTTCAATTCCTTGGAAAACCGGATCGATGTAGAGTGCTCTCCATGGTACTGAATCTTCAGACGGCTCATAAAGTGTGTGAGATAAAGTGTGCCATGTGGTAATATAATACATTTTGATTCGAAGAACATTGTGATTTTATTATTTATTGACTTATTTAATTGCTTTATAGACATTGTGTCTTCCCTGTACACTGTTGCGTACCATGCCGTTTTAGTGAGGCTCGTTCTCTCCAGCGCAATGTAAAAGATCCTAACATGGTCTTTGGCCTGCCCTCCTCCTGTGTGCTCCAGGGTAACAGAAGACGCTCGGGAGAACGAGATGGATGAGAACCTGGAGCAGGTGGGCGGGATCATTGGCAATCTGCGTCACATGGCCCTGGACATGGGCCAGGAGATCGACACCCAGAACCGGCAGGTCGACAGGATCATGGAGAAGGTACTGCTCATGTCGGCTTTAAGTTGGTGGGAAAGGGTGCGTTATTTCTAGAGAATTGCAGGACTTTGATGTCTTGGCCTCTTCGCTGTTCTAAATTCATACTTATTGGTGGAAACAAGTCTGATTTTAGTTGTTACTAGGCAACAAGCTGTCTTGGTTGATGGGGTAGCAAAGTAAATAGTGCCAGCAGAGTTTACGTGTCGAGGTGCGATGCTCCAAAATATCGGCAATATGGATCTGCAATGTGAGGATCAAGAAGGAGCTTTGTTGTATTAAATGTAATGTAAATGAAAGGCAGCAAATCTGGAGCAAATGCTAGCTAATCTATGGAGTATTTAGCTGATATTCAGCATGGATTAGATGCTCAGCACTCAGCTATGTGACAACGGATGTGGCTGTGCTGGAGCAAATCTGATTCACGTGCCAGTGGACAAAATCTGGGTGTAAATCTGAATGTTACACGTCCAAATTGTCCACTTTGTCAATTAAATTAGTACGATTATCTACATTAAAGGATAATTGCAGATTATTTCCAGCGTATTTCCCAGAAATGTGAATATGCAGGGTGACTAGGTCAGCCCATAAATTGAGATTTTTTTTTTTACCTTCGGTCAGCTGTTCGAAATGATTCATGTAAAGAGCATGTTTAATAGGCAAGCTGTACGGGGCTCTCGCATAGGTTTATTTATGATAAGTCAGCATGACGCATAGATTCACACACACATAGCCACAGTTCTGCACACCAGTTAAACACACCGGGTTGAAAACAAACCTGCATTCTCCTTTTTAAAGTAACTCCTCCCCCACACCTTCGCCGGCCGCTGGCTGAACTGTGCGTGTGCTTCTTTCAGGCCGATTCTAACAAGACCAGGATTGACGAGGCCAACCAGCGTGCTACAAAGATGTTGGGCAGTGGCTAAACTGCAGCGAGAAAAAAAAGTGCTTTCATCCCCGTTTCACCCCAATCACCCTGAAGAAAACAACACCAACTAACCTAACCCAGCCCCCCCCCCCCCCACCCATCACACCCACCGACGCCCGGCGCCCACTTCCTATGCTCGACAGCCGGTGCTGCAAAATCATGCTTTTATTGTGATAGAGGTTTGCACACATGCACATATCATACATTCCTCTCCCCCCCCCCCTGATTATGCCCATCACTTCCTTCCCCTTGTTGTCTTGTTGTTCTGTGGTGTCGCTGAAATCTTGTGAACAAATAATAGTTCTGTTACACTTCATCCACTCAAAGTGTCTCCACGCTGTACATAGCGCTTCTTAAACGGCTTCATCGACTTAGATCACTTGTTCCTGTTTTCTTCATCGCTCGTTTATTTTATTTATTTATTTTTTTAAGTCTGTGTGTAATATAAACTGTATGTACACCTTGTTCCAACATGTCCGTCCCCCATCATATCAGTGTCCCGGCGTTGTCCATGAGAGACGTGACGCGTGTTCATCAGTTAGGGTGTCGTGATGCTACAGGATAACGCCACAGTGAATATAGTGAACATGCAGCCCTCACAGCTTGAAGCCAAGGCCACCGTTTCAATAACCACCAAGTCACTTAATGTTGACGTGGAGCCATTCGGATGATGACCGCTAATGAATCAACTCTTAGATGGAGCAGTATTAATGCAATTCGATGCCATTGATTGTATAGTGTTAAACCTTTTCTTCAGAGAGCTAAATCTCACCAGTCTAAAGCGACAGTTCGTTATTGAACTGATTTGTTGAAATCCATAAAATCTCAATCTATAAGACCCTAAGCGAACATTTTGCATTCGGCTGTGGTCTGAACAGCATTGTCGATGGGACATTTTGGGCATTAACCATAATAGGTAACATTGTGATTGATGATAAGAGCAGGTGGAGCTTTGCTAAAGGTCACGGGTTCAACAGCAAGGAATTCAACTGGTAGGAACGTCTTCACATCCCAGGCCGGACTGCTTTACCCATGACTCAACCCCAGCAGTATCAAGCAATCCATTAAGTGTGTTATGCATGTTCATCCGCTGCTAGATGACACTGAATTATTAATTTATTCAGACAGAAATATCCTGACATGACAACCGCATGCTACATATGTAGGCCGCACGGAAGAGAGGAGCATATTTATCTGCAGTAGTGTCAATCTTTTCGTTTCGTGTCTCTTTAACCTTTTCTGAACTGTGACCATCATTGGAAAATAATACCTTGGAAAATGCCAATAAAACCATCATAACTGTCGATCCAAACTGAGCTTCCTTTCTATTTTTAAATGACTTTCAATACTGGTTTGTGTTCGTGCTCCTAATAAACACCCTGAGGTTTGTAGCTTCAAATCCCTCACCACACAAGCAACAATGTATGAATGCACGAGTTAGAACAGAACCGGGACTGTACAATGTAAATACTACTTTTGAGACACAGTGGTACTTGGATATGAGACAAGAAGTTTAAAAAAGTGGTCAAAATGGGAGTTTTTCAGTTGTAGACAAGAACACGTGCATCAGCTGAAAAGAAGATAAAGATCCACTTGGAACATGTGCTTTAAAAAAAAAAAAAAAAAAATGATTATGTGAATAAACTATTCCCAGACAAATAAATAACTGAAAATAATGCCAATAAAAAAGGCTACGGTTTTACAGTTAAAAATTACATCTGCTCTCAAATATCACACTCTTTCCTCTCCTATCATGTTGAATTTTCTCATTTCAGGGAGATTGATTCCTTTGCGGTGTTAACACAGTCGCATCCTCCACTGACACCAACCCGTGACAGTCGTGAAGGGACCCTCCGCACACATCACATGACCCAGCCTTATATAAGGGGGAAACAGTAGATTTACTCGCCCTATGAAGACTTCTTTGTAGGTGCTATTGCTGTCACATTTTACGACCCACAATGTAACACACGTGTGACATAACGTTATATTATGGTCATCGCATCAAGAAAACATGCTTTAACTTGAGCCCTTCCACAGGCAGGTGAGAGGTGAGAGAGCTTATGCTAACTAGTCGTAAATTGCTCCAAAACTGGAGCTAAATGGCTCAAATATGCAACATTAGCAAAGACATCTAAAGCACTATGTTGTAGCATGGAAAAATGAAATAAAAGAGAGAGAGAGAGAGAGAGAGAGAGAGAGAGAGAGAGAGAGAGAGAGAGAGAGAGAG